AGAAGTCTAACTACCACCTCTTGGGGGAGTGACTAACTACAGAGATGGGAGAACTTTTTCTGTCACTACAGCGTTTTACACTGAAGTGCCACAAAAGTGCTGTGGTGCAGCTCTGTGGCTACAGCAGTTCAACCATAACCACAGGCAGAGATATTTTAAAATGGAATGAGCCTAAACATAAAACCTAGGATGCAAGATGATTCAAGCAGAGTGTTACATGCAAATTATAAAATAAGAAAAAATTAAATAAAGTCTCTCCATCTTAAAGAGGGCAATTAAACTGGCTGCCATTCTTATGTGATCTTGTTGTGTCGATATACAGCAGCTAGAAATCCCATTGCATAGGTCTCTAATTGCTGTTTGTCCCATATTTGGCCCATTATTGTGGATGAGTATCTAGAGGGGGAACTCACACCTAGATTCCACTGCTTCTATGGTAAAAAAAACAAACCACTGTGTGTGTATGTGGGGGGACAGAGAGTAAGTAAATTAACGAGCAATATATTATTGTGGATACCACAGGGGCAGTCACTATTTTTATTTATTTGCTTTATTTTAAATCTGCACTATCCAATAGTTTGAAAAGCAGAACAGCACTATTATTTTATACAGCAATCTGGTGTAGTGTAACTGTAGAACACAAAAGGTACATAAAGAGATGCACACACAAGGTGGGTCTACCCTGCACCGTAGGTTGAAATAGAAAACGCAATTTGACCTACACAAATTGCACATCTTATTTCAATCTACTTCAGAATAGTTTACTTTGTAATTTGGCAAAGTCTACACAGCGCAAAATTTTGAAATAACTAGCTATTCCGAAACGTCCCTTGCTCTTTGTTAGATTAGCGAGTCTGTTATATTTCGAAATAACAGGCTCGCTGTTAAGATGTGGGATAGGTATCCCAAAATAGTGCTGCAGTGGTATGTAGCCACACAGAGACAGAGTGTTTGGAGTGCAAGTGGTCCACCACACTTTACCTGATTTGCTTGGTGTGACCCACTATTTAAGAACAATGTTTATTAACTATAGCTGCATAATACTTGCAGTGGGGCATGTTACTTGCATTACCCCCTTATCACTTTCCCCCAGTCAAGTTGCAGTATATCACCATTTCTTTCCCTCTCCAGCCCATTTATCATTCAAGACATTTATTCTTCCCTATTCTACCTTCTCCACATTAAGTCATTCTTTCCTCTTGTCAGTGTGAACTGTATGTCATTTCATTCTTTTCATTTGGAAAAGAATTTGTCTTTTACTAGGGTGTATATTGCCCAGCATAAAGGGGACCTGAAACGTCCCTGATCAGGGTCCCTAGGCTGTAAAAACAGGCAAACTGTCTGAAAACGAGTACATACCCTTTCAGACTAGTGCACAATAGAAACTCTCCCAAGTACAAAAGCAGAGTATTATTGGGGTGGAACTCAGTCCAATTGATGCTCACAGTTGGATCTAAAAGAGTAAAATGGATGTAGGCCTTGTTCAAGAAACCAGCTCTGAAGCATGGTTCCCCCATCCTGCCTCCCCTCCCTGTTTAATTATGTGCATATTTTTTTCTGTTACTAATAATGGGATATTGTAGCACATTTTAAGTCTTGCACAGTTTTTGTTAAGAGCTCATGACCCCGTGTCGCACCCACTTAGATTTAATCCTGTAAAACATTTATTACAATGGAGAATGTATATAGCATGAACAAAAACATTGCAAAAGCACAGAGTTAAAACATATATTTTAATTCTAAGCTGTCTCCACCAGGCATATCTCTTATAGTAAAAGTTATAACACTAGAAGCAATACCAAATATAGGCCCTACCAATGGATTTCAACAGTATTTCACTCATTCGAATACAGGTGAAAGAACAGATTTCTATAGGATTTTTGAATGCAAGATTATAAATACATTAAACTATTTCAATTGGTAGCTAGTGTGAGTTTAAGCAGCACTGATAATAGGATTTATTTTCAATATCTGTTTTGGATTAAAAAAAATTAAGACCCTAAAGATAGAACATTTACTGTGAGATACCAGTTCAGGGGACTCAAACACCCACAGTAGGAAATGATGAAAAGCAGAAGCACTTTTAGGTTACTTAAATTTTTAACAGAACACTAATGGGTAGGAAAAAGATTATGAAACTTGAATGCAAATTAAGATAGGGGCTGTTAACTAACTTTCTAAACCCAATGTAATTAATATAAGTTAAGGACTACCATAGATGCTTGCTAAGTAGGAACAAAATGCTAGCCATGTTTGTTAAAGCCCAGATAATTTAATAAGCTTTCTTTCTCCAAATTAATTGGATATCCTCCAAGAAAACTGATCTGAAAAGAAAAAAAAGTCATTTGCAGGCTTGACTGGTATTTAGAGTTTCAACTCAATGCAATTTAAACAGAAAACATTAAATTCCCACCCAGCTCTCCCAAGGTGGAAATTCGAACAAACCATTCAGTGCAGTGGAGCTGCTAGTCAGAGCTGGAATGCAGATACACAACTAAGCAGATGGCAGCAAGGCTTCCAGAAAGCTTGTATGTGACCACATTTTTCAGAATAGCAGCTTGCAAGAATGATATTTTAATTTCCTTTCTTATAAAACATCACATTTCCTCCATCACACAAGTCAGTCCTCATGTACTTCAGAAGGAAAAGTATGCCCTTAAGGCCACTTGTACGCTACGAACCTGATTCTCTACTCATTGAAGCTGGCGGCACAGCTCCTATTAACTTCAATGGCAAAGGATGTTTAAAAATAATAGGAGTAACTTGACACATAGGCTTGATCTATGCTACCAACTTATGTGGATTTTCCACACCCCTGAGCAATGCAGTTACACTGAGCTAACACTTGATGTACAGAGAACTGCACTGATGGCAGCACATCTGACAGCGCTTCCTCCTTTTGGAGAAGTGGTGCATTTATGTCAACCGGAGAGGATCTCTGGTTGGCATTAGGGATGTTAAATGGAGTGTAATCTGGTAACTGTAGACAACAAATGTTTTGTTGGTTACATGGTTAACTGCTGTGGCTCTGCATTGAAAGTCGCTTGGGAGGCAGCAAGCAGGTAAGCTGGCTCCGTCCCAGCTCTTGCCAGGTCCCGGCAGCCACCCTAGCTGTGGCTCTGCCTGTCCGCTGGCTCCTAAATTATTTTCATGCAGCGCTGCAGTGGGGGTAACAGCTGGTACCTAGCATGAACTGGGACTGAGCCAGCCTGATGGCCAGCCCACTGCACGTGGTGGGGAGGGGGGGAAAGGAGGGGTTGCATGTACCTGGTAGCATTAACAGATAAGCATCATCATATCAGTTAATTGTTTAACCAGATACACTATTACATCCCTAGTTGGCATAGGTAGTAGCTTCACTTATTGCTATAGCAGAGCAATTTAAAAGTATTGTAAGTGTAGATAAACACTAAGATCCCATTTAAAAATTATTTATAAAAGGCTAATAAATCATTAACAGATGTTATAAGCATATTATAGACAACATGAGTATTTCAGTATGCATCAACAGAAGATGTTCTAAATGGCTATAAGCAGCTTACTGATCAGCTGAACTAACAATTGATTAACCGTTTATTAAAACAAATCTGTAAACCTGAGACACAGAATCGTTTATTCAACAACTCATTTTTTCACAACTCAACCCCATTATCTTTGTTTGCACATTTACACTTGCCACACTGCCTGTGCATTCTTGGAAAAACTGAGCAGATAACTCACAGTGCCGCCACAAAGAACAGAGTGCTCCAGAATCAAACACAGAAAAGGGCACAAACATCATACAATGCAGGATACTCTGGGATATCCTATTGAATGCACCTAGAAAGAAAACTGGATGAATCGGTTATATAGTTAACTCCCCCCCCCCACCTCCATTCACCTTTTAGGATGACTCCCTTAAAGAAAAATGACCATGTGTCAACCTAGACCGGTAACAAAGGTAATCAGCATTTCTGCTATCATAGTAGTTTCCATATCCATACAGAATTTGAGGTAGGGGAGAGAGGGGAAGTAAGGGAGAGAAACTGGCTTGACAGCAGCA